AGGTGTTTTGGTCGGGAGACGGCGTATTGCCGCCGGCGGCGCAAGGAGCGCTCGCCCCGGCCGTTCAGTTAATTATGTGAAAGGCTATATTTTTAAGTCATTGTGATGATTACGTTCATGTTGAGTCAGGTGATGTTGTTTTACGTTGAAGTTGTCGGAAAGAAACGCCGGACGGCCGACAGGTGTTGGTCGTGTGTGCGCTGCCCGCATATCGCCGCAGCAGCGCATCGGCCATCAGTCATAGCGCGACGGGCAGCGTGTGCGCAATGCTATGCTGCGTGCGTGTTGCCTGTACGCGGCAGGAGTTGCGGGCGACGCCCAGTAGTACGCCCGCCAACTGCTGTGCACGCCCGTGTGCGCATGCCCAGTTCAGCCCCTGATGTGGCGCGCGGTAGCGCCCAGCAGCGTGAGTAGCGCCTGTGCCCGCGCACATAGCGCGGGACAGTGCCCAGATCAACGCCCGCGTCGCCCCAGGGCACGCTCGAGGCCCAGTCATGCCCAGCGGCGGTACCCAGTGCCGCTGGCAGTTCCCCGTCAGTCCCAGCGCCGCGGCCAGGCCGGGCAGCGCCAGTGTGCACAGCCTCAGCAGGCTGCTGGCCGAGCCGAGCCGACTGCCAGTCCAGTCGACCCGCAATCTGGTCCAGACCGGTTTGGACCGGCTGGATCGGTTCAGCCCCCTTTTTAAATCGGTTCGATTCATATATTAAGTGTTCAACCCGGTTCATGATATTAATGATATTTTCAGTTAAATTTCCTGGATTATTTCAGTTCAGTAAATTCATGTCCAATCAGTACATGTCAGTTCAGTTCCGGTTATTCTGGTTAAGTCTAAATATCATGTTAAGTTCAGTAGAGCATCTTAACGAAATTAAATCAGTTAAGTTAACAGTCTGAGCATAGTCATTAGTAATTGTTTATATTATTTTCAGTTTGATCAGGCATCAGCACTACCGTTCAGTTCAGCAGTTCAGGTGGGGACTCAGACTACGTACTACAATGATTATAATTACAGTACCATGCTTGAGGTATGTATTTCATGTGAGGTATCCGCTCGGAATGGTCGTCGGTCCATTCTGGGTTCTAGTGGCCCTAGCTGCCCACTAGAGTGTGCACATGGTGTCCGACATTAGTTTTTGCCGGCAGATGAGGTAACGGTCAGGGTCACGTTTGCGTGACGATTTCAGATTCATGTTCATGTTATTACCGGCTTGAGGTTGAGATTATGTATATACTGATATCATGATGTTGTTATTATTTTCAATGTTTACATTAGTATGAGTTTCCACGGAGCACAGTGCCATAGTGCTCATTTCCCACTTTTATCATGTTTTTCAGGTCAGGACGTCGGGCCGGGAGCATGAGCTGACGGAGGCTTCAGGACATTTATGTTTTGAATGTATATGTTATGTATATTGACGATTTACGTTTCTGCTGATGATGACTTTTGACGTACTTATATTTTGACGAACTTATATTTAGACGAACTTTGGAAAGCTTTATGCTTTCAGTAACCGGATGATTTTCTTAAAAATTAAATAACGGTTTTCCAAATTAAGTCACGATTTTAAGGTAGCACCCCGAATTAGTTTTCGCAAAGTAAAAATGCTTTATTTTTAAATAACTTTGCGAAATTTTCGCACTCTGATTTTACGATAATGCGGGGTGTTACAGATCGGCTGGGCCTGGCTGGCTTCCGGCGGCAGCGGTGATTTCCGGCGGCGGTCGACGGCGGCGATGGGCGGCGAACGGCGGGGAAGATGACCGAA